CTTCCTGCAGGGAGTAGGGCAGGGGGTGGCGAGGCCAGCGTGGGCCTTTACCTGCCTGCTCCCCCCCCCCCGCCCTTCTGTTGGCTCTGTTGCTGCCTCCTCCGGGGAGCAGGGAGGGGGGAGGCCAGCTGGCCTATGATAATAATTTATAATTATTTTTGCTATTATTATAAAACTTGCATCATTAGTAACTGTTAATAAATAAATATTAATGTAATAATTACACTAAACATCCATATTTATAACTTATGTTAATAATAATTATAACTAATCAACATCTGTCTCTGCCTGTGTGTGTGTCATGCAGAGCTCAGCCAGCCAGAGCCCCAGGCTGACCCCTCTCTTCATCCCCAGTGTCCCCATGATCATGGCAGCGCTCCACTGCACCACCACCTCCTGTCCCAATGCTGTATTTGCACTACGATTGCCGTTTTCGGTCAGCTAATCGGAGCGCAAATAAAGCGTTATGGACAGGCAGATGAAGGCTTTTATAATAGAATGCATGTAGACACACGCAAAATGCAGGCCAGATGCGGCCATCCAGGCCATTCTAGCTGGCCCTTGGGGCACCTAAAAAAAATTTGGAAAACTTATATTTATCTCCCCGTGGAGGCCTGTCACAAAACCCTCGATGGCTTACCAAAATGTAGTAAGTGGCCCTCCACTCAAAATACTTGCCCACCCTTGGCGTATATGTATCTAATCTCAGGAGAGCTTGTGTATCTCTCAATGTGTATGCGTATCTCTCAATGTTTTGTTTCTTCCAGTGAAGTCACTTGAGCCTTGACTGGTCTCAGCTTTGGGCCACTTGGCTGAAGTCATGGCTGAAGCTTTTGTGCTGCTGTCCCAACCTGAAGAGGGGCTTTCTCCCTCCCCTACATTTTGTAGTTGTGTTCCCCCTATCGTTTCCACCCCCCGCCCCCAACACACACACTTTTAATTTGTTCGTGTTCCCTTGGGGGTGGCTGTCATGCCGCTTGGGTAATCCTTTAACTTGCCCTCCTGTTTTTCTTCAGGCATGTTCATTGCTGTTGGGGAGGGCTGTGAGCGTGCCAGAGAGACCCGATGAGGACATGGTGAAGGCGAGAGCTTGAGCTGAATCTGAAGATACAGTTTCTCTGTGCGAAGCATGTAGGTCTTCCCAAACTTCGGCTTCAGTCACCTTTTATTTAGTGTTGTAAGAGTAAAGCGAGATTTGTGCATCCTGCCCCTTAGCATGTTTTCTTCTAGAAGAAGACATGCAAGCACCTACAGATGAGTTCTAGTTTCCCTCCGTACTTGGTTGTCTTTTGCTTGCTTGCATAGCCTTTTACATACCAGTGTGGGAAAAGAGGAAATTTATGATTGTGGTTACTTTCTATTGAGTCTTTCCTATTGACAAAACTAAGCTTGATATAAATGGTATGTTTTTTTTTCTTCAAAAGTGCAGGATCATCTCCTGAAACTTCCCTTACACATGAGCTGTTAAAGGGCATTCTTATATTTGGAAATGGGGCAGTCCAATGTTAGGAAGTGTGGAAATAAGTTACCTGTCTAACCTAAACCTAACTTCTTCAAGCATATACATCATGATGCAGACTCTGTTTGTTGTGTATGTAGGCTATACTCTTATAAGCAATGTCCCTAATTCATTGCATGTAACGATCAGTGCTTACTTAATGAGTTGCATTTTTTTTCCTTACTGTTCAATATGTACTTCCAGGCCACACTTAAAAGCTATTCAAACCTTTGTTTTGAAGACAGAATTCTGAATTTCATCTTGGGCTTTTCTATGGTGCCCATTCTTACGGCATCTGTGGTGCTTTTCACCTCATACAAGTGCCCTAAAATTAAGTTCATAAATGTTCAAGAAGTGCCACAGATGCCGCATCAATAGATGGGGAACTGAGGTGCATAGAGTTGGTTTGAAAGTATATGCTGGCAGAGACTCCCAGGCAGCTACTGCTTAGTTGGCTAAGATTTCCCTCTACTGGGAAAAGGCTGCTGACCCCTGACTTAATGTGATATTGACTTAGGACTAGTTTGGTTTGGTAACATTTGACTTAAATGAATGGGGACTCTCAGTGATAGAAAGTTAGTGACCTTAAAGATATTCTCTTTTATCTTGTTTTATGTACACCATAAATAAATGAAAATAAAATTTTAAGGTTCATTTGAAGAAATCTTAACATTGTTCTCTTGTTCCTGTAATAAAGTTGGATGTTGATTAGATCATATTCATTTAATTAGTTTGTGATATTGGTCCTTTTATAAGCTCTGCTATGAAGCAATTTTCACTTGTCAATTCAAAGCTAATTATGCTGCCAGACTCTGCTCTTGCACAAATGTGCTTTCATGTGTTTACTATTTCTTTGCACTGCCTCTTGATCTGCTCAGTTGTTTCTTCTTTACAAGTCTTCTCTGAAACACTGCTTTTGTCTTCCTTTTGCTCTCTAGATAGCTACTTGAACACACTTTTCCTAGTTTTCAAACATGCTACATGTGATGGTATCAGTCAGGATCACTGATCTAGGGGCCTGGGGAGAAGTGGGTAGGCAAAATAAACTTCTTTCCCTGCCAAATGTCTCATTGTAGTCTTTTTTTCAGGTAGTAGTACTAATGACACTATCCTTCCTCTTGGTCCTAGTGCTTTACCAATTACTATTGTCTCCTGTATCTCTGTGCCACAAATTCTTTTCTTTTCCTTTCTCACTGTATGAGCTGGTTTGTGCTCTGACTTGGGAGCCAACCTTATTGGCAGCAGTGTCACAAATCCATCCCGCACTTTCCCCAAGAACCCCTCTGATCCCTTTCTGCCCTTACCTGATCTGTTCAGCTTTCTGCTTCATGCTTCTTGCTTGATATGGTCCTCTGCTTTCTGCTGTCTGCCCTGTCTGCCATTGTGCTGCCTATCTTCCTCTTCGAATCTGCTGCACACCACACAGTCTGCCCATGCCACTTCTGGCATCCATGTTGCATGTTGGCCACCTGTGCTTAAGTTTTGATGTGGCCTGCCACCTTGACCTCTTAACTAGTCTTCCAATGAAGTTGTTCAGATTACAGTTATCTTTGCTGCTGTCTTCCTGTTGCATAAATCTCTGGTGGCTTTTTCTTCTGCTCTGGTTCTCTTGATGCTGTAAGTTTGTACCTTCCCATTTCTTTACCATACTAGACAGATGCAAGAATAGTTAGGTGGAACAGAATCAGTCCACTAGGTAGATCTACCTCTTGCCCAAAGATCCCTGTCAGAAAGACCATTGGGATGAGGGGGGGAAGTGGCTGTTTTCCTCCCCCCCCTTTTTTGCTGAGGGTCAGTGCCTTTTGAGAGTCTGGAACTGACTGAGAAGGGAGGGTGTGGGGCTGGGGCTGGGTAATGCACTCTTTTGACAGCTGCCCCTCTTTGTCTACCCAGCCTTCAGTGGAAGTTTCATTTGTCTCTTTCCTCTTGTCTGGTACCAGATCTCCCCAGGAAGCATGCTTTTAACTCTCAACTATTTATCTTAAAGCTATACTTCTGATAAAGATGCTGTTAAATACAATGTCAAGTTAAACTTGTTGGCATGAAATGACTCTGCAAGAGAATTTCTTGTTTTAGCATTTTCCTAATGTAGAAGTGGTTACGGAGTAAACTTAATAAAAACTTTTTATATGCATAATCGCTTCTCCCTCCTGTATTCACATAATAGGATTACAGGAAAGTATGACTAGAAGGGTCCTGACAAGGTCATCTAGTCCTCTCGTTCTCAACCTTTTTTGTACCACAACCCATTTGTAAACATTGCTTAGCCCTGACCCAGTGCCTCACTCCTGGCCTGCTGCCCTCTGCCCTCAGGCCTCAGCTCCTCTGTGTGGGATTGGGGGGAAGGGGTTGTATGTGGGGCAAGAGGGGCCCCAGGCAGCCTCTTGCAGACTGGAACTCTGACAGCTTGTAAGGGAAAAGCCAGTTTCCCACATTTTTTTTTTTTCTCCTTTTTAAAGGAGGAGCCATTTTTAGGTTTTAAATCCATTTTGTTCTTTACCTTTTCCTGCAACCTATGGGTTGAGAAACATTGATGCTTAGGTAGGATCATCCCTGACCAAACCATCCTAGCCAAGTGTCTGTCCAACCTGCTCTTGACAATTTCCAGGGATGGAGATTTCACAGCTTCTTTAGGTAACCTCTTCCAGTGCTTTACCACCTTCATAGACAGAAAGTTGTTCCTAAATTTCCTCTGCTGCAGCTGAAGGCCAGTGTTCCTAGTCCTGACCTTTCCCCTTCAGCCTCTAAGCAACCCCATTTCTATTCTCTCTCTAATTGTCCCTCATGTATTTAAAGACTGTTACTAAATCCCTGCTTAAACTTCTCTACTCCAGACTAAACCCGAGGGTTTTTCAGCTTTTATTTGTTAAGTCATGTTTCCCAGGCCCCTAATCACTTGTTGCCCTGCACTAGACTCCTTCCAAACTGTCCACATACTTCTTGAAGTGCAGGACCCAAGACTGGATACAGTAGTCTGTGCGAGTCCTTGCCAAAAGGGGGAAGAATCACTTCTCTTGGTGTGTTGTTTAAGTGACACTTCTGTTAATACAATTTGGTATGCTGTTGGCTTTTTTTGCAACAAGGGAACATTGTTCAGTCATATGAAGGCTATGGTTTACTGTAATCCCCAGTCCTTCTCTGCACTACTGTAACCTAGCTAGTTACTCACCAGTTCATATTTAGGCACCCGATTTACTCTGGCTGTAGTGCAGACTTTGCACTTGTTCAGTATCATCTGATTGACTGCCAACCACTCTTCCCCTGCCCAGTCTATCTAGCTCAGTTTGGATCGTAGTCCTATTCTCTATCATGTCTTCACCCAACTTTGGTGTCATCTATCAATTTGAAAAGTGCATACTCAGTCCCATCCAAATCTCTACTGAAGTTATTAAAATGCAGGACAGACCCCTGTGGAGCTGTGTTTGATACCTTTTCCCAACTTGACCTTGAGCCATTGATGAATACTTACTGAGTGTGCTGATCCAACCTATTATGTATCCGCATAACAGTACTTTCATCTAGTTCAGGAATGCTCACCAATTTAGCACTATGAGCCAGATAAGTGGGGCCTGTCTCTAGGCTGGATCCAGCCCTGTGTGCCAAGATTATGTTCTGGGGCCTTGGCATTGTCCCTGAATTCTAGGATTGGACCCTGATGGCTTGCAACCACTTCCCTTCAGGGGTTGGAATCTGGTACCACCCTTTCCCATCTCACCATGGGATTGGTGTCTAGGGGCCTGGCATTGCCCTCTCTGGTGCTAATGCTTGGGGATTTAGTCCCAGGGGCCTAGTGCTGCCCCTTCCTGTTAGGACTGGGCCCCGGGGGGGCCTGGTACCATCCCCCTTCCAAAGGAATTGCTCCCCAGGGACCTGGCACTACCCCTTCTGACCCCAGTGCAGTGGGAGCAGGGCCTGGGGAACCTGTGCTTTCCCCATTCCAGCCCCTTACACCAAGATTGGGTCCTAGGGCTAGCACCACCCTTCCCAGCCTTCAGCTTGCCAGGATTGGGCCCTGGGCCCTGATGCTTTCCCTTGCCTGACCCCATGCACTGGGATCAGCTACTCCATCCTGTGTGCGGGGGCCCAAGGCTCCCCTGCAGGTCTGGAAATGTAGTGATGGGAGAGGGGTAGCCAAATTCACAGACCTGTCGGGAACCCTGTGTACTAGATGATGTGGGGCCATGGCTTGTCTGGGCCCGCTGGCTGGGTGGTTGAGCACTCCTGGTCTAGTCTGTGTTTCATAATTGGTAGGGTCGAAAGGGACCTAACCAGATCATCTAGTCTGACCCCCCTTCCATGGGCAGGAAACGATGCTGGGGTCAAATGACCCCAGCTAGGTGGCTGTCTAGCCTCCTTTTGAAGACCCCCAGGGTAGGGACAAGCACCACTTCCCTTGGAAGTTGGTTCCAGCTCCTAGCCACCCTGACTGTGAAGTAGTGCCTCCTGATATCTAGCCTGAATCTACTCTCAGTCAACTTATGGCTGTTGTTCCTTGTTACTTCCGGTAGTGCTGGGGGGAACAGGGTCTCTCCCATTGCCTGCTGGTCCCCCTTGGCAAGTTTATAGACGGCCGCCAGATCCCCTCTCAGCCTTCTTTTGTGGTGGCTGAACAGGTTCAGGTCCTGTAGCCTCT